TAGCCTAGAAGGTGGCCAAACCCCAGGTGCTTCTTGGGATGCGATCAAATTTGGTCGCTAATCCGGCAGGATCAGACCCACGTACGTCTGCCCTCGGGTCTGCACCTATTACCCACGCGTATCGGACATTTGTTGACAGGGCAAATGAGAAACGCGCGTCAGGTAACACAGGTGCTTAACGAAGGACGAGGGGATAAATGAATGGGACAAATGCTGGTCCTCTCGATGCAGAAGTCCACACTCTATCGATGGAGAGCTCCACCGAAGCTCAAGATGAAAAAACGCTTTGGGAAAAGTATTGGACACTTGAGCAAGAGGGAGTTGAAGAATTCACCTCGTCCGAAAAAGAGGTACAGTCCCTTGTAGATGAAGCGGTGTTGAAATATTTTAGAGAGACCATTGAAAAAAGAGACGATGGGTACTATGTTCGTCTCCCATGGAAAGAAATCCCCTCACCGCTACCGGACAATCGGGCAATCGCGTGGAAACGACTTATAAGCGTATGGAACTCTCTAGAAGAGCGAAGAGCTCCTAGAAAAATATAATGACATTTTCCAGGAACAAGAACGTTTGGAGATAATAGAAGAGGTGGTAGACGAAAGGGCTCCGGTGGACGGGAGGATTCATTATCTACCGCACCAGGCGGTCCTGACCCCTCAAAAGGCGACAACCAAACTTCGCGTTGTTTTCGATGCATCGGCTCATTTCAAGGACTCCCCATCCTTAAATGATGCCCTGCATAGGGGGCCTGTTATTCTGCCCAATCTGTACGGTCTTCTCCTTCGATTTCGCGTCGGACGCGTTGCTTTGATTGCAGACGTAGAAAAAGCGTTTCTACAAGTGCGGTTGCATGAAATGGACAGGGACGCCACCCGCTGTCTGTGGTTGCGGGACCATAGAAGTCCTCCGAGTGCGAATAATCTACAAGTCTATAGGTTCACGCGCGTAACGTTTGGACTGCTATCCTCACCGTTTCTGTTAGCAGCAACAACGCACTATCACCTAGATCAGTATCAGAGATGAGGTTGATCTGGTAGAGGAAATCAAACAAAACCTTTACGTTGATAACCTTCTCCTCACAGCAGACTCGGTAGGGGAAGCGAATCGCGTGTATGAGAGAACAAAAGAAATTTTTGACGAACTGCATATGAATTTGAGGGAATTTGCTTCCAACAACGAGCAAGTCCGGCAGCGAAAATCACTATTCTTCCCAAGCTGCTTCATAAAATAGAAAGCACGAAACAAGAAATATCGCGCTTGGGAGTACGGTCGGTCTTTACTAAATTATTTCTACGCCAATCTAGCTGACGCGGACAGAAGAAATAGAATCGGAAAAGAGATGCAAGTGGCACTTCGCGTAATGGATGGCCATACCAAACAGTTGGCGGAACTGGAAGCAGAAATCGGAGCACAGATGCAGCGGGCCGAAAGTGACTTCAGAACAGGGCCGTGCTCAACCAATGCAGAGCAGATAAATGCACTTTTTCGAAAGGCTTTTGAAACCATAACTTCAGAAGAAAAGCAGAAAATGAACGAGCAGTTCCTCAAACTGCAGTCACAGCTCGACGATCAATCTAACGAAATAGCGCGTATGAAGGACCAACAAGCACAAGCCGCAGCATCGGTATCACAACAAAAGTTCGGAAACATCGAACCAACTGATGATGAATACTTTGATCAAATGACGCGTGAGGTAAATGAGACGGAAGAGATGCCTGCCCTTGCAGCAGAAGAGCCTGTCGTAGAAGAAATGGAAGCTAACGATTCACAGCAGCATCGGCAGCAAGGAACTCAAGAGGTTGCAAATCCACCACGACTGTTCCAGCGCGTAGAAGAACGAGGTGAAGAAGAGATATCATCGGATATTTCCAAATCAGGCGACGATAGCAGTGAAGGCGAAATGGAAGAGTTGGAAAGGCGATGTCATCTCCTCGAACGAAGAATGGATCGTATTCATGCAGCATTCCTACGGTTTCCATACAGGAAGAAAGAATACCAATCACCAGGAATACCTGAAGATAAACGGTGCGCGTTCTGCTGGGCTAAAGGAGAACACTTCTCGGAATCATGCCCAAACGTAATACATGGAGATGAGAGAACCGAAATGATAGACGAAGTGGGTTTGTGCCGAATGTGCTTAGAGCTGTGTTCAATGGAAAGGGCTTGTCCATACACGAATAAAAAATGCTTCTACTGTGAGCGAGTAAGAGGAACACCCTTCGAAGAGATGTCAGACGGTCTCGACAACCATCATAGCGCACTTTGTAACATACCGAATAGGAAAGAAGAAGCGCGAGAGATACTCAATAGAGCACGTCGAGACTTCAAAGAGGCGAAGATGGAACTCGAACTCAAGCAGAAGAAACGGCAGGAACGTGACGAGCAAGGGCCAAGTATGCCGAATAAGCGAAGACGACATGGGTACCCAAAGGAGGAACAGCCGAAAACTTGGCGCCGGGGGAGTGACGACAAACGTCGTCCCTAAATAATCTGGTAAGCGTAGAGGTAACGGTTTCCATTTAAGCTTTCCTTTCATTTAGCATATCTCGCAAGCAAAATGTAGGAGACATTCTATTGATCGATACCAATATTTCTTCTAGGCTCCACGATCGAGGGAATGTAAGCGTAGCGGCGGAGGAAGAGCTTGATCAAGATAAGGAGCCGCTACTGAGAGCTGTATATAAGCGTAGGAATGGAAATATGGGGGTTCATGATCGTCTCTAGCTGCGGCCGAGATCGGTGCTGTCTTATTCGCGTAGAATTCTGCTCCCTAACGTCACCGCGTAGAAGTTCGACAGTTCGTAGCTAATCGGAAGATTCTCTGGTTCTATTTATACTGTATTTCATTCGGTCGATTGGGATAGTTAAGTGAGTCATAAATATTTGTTTAACTCTGTTGTTTCACTTCCGAGTATAACCCGCGTGGCAAGTGTAGGAACGTAAGACAAGGATATTCGCGTGGAAGTGGATTCATTCTTTGCCATTTTCGATTCAATCCGCACCTTCAAAATGGCTATCAAAGCTGGCTCATATAAGCTTTTGGGCCCGAGCCCCCTTTGCCACGGTTTCGACAGCACGCGTTTAGTCTTTTATGTTCGCGGAAAGCAGGCGGTACCTCCCATGGGGAGAGAGAAAAGTCTAACGGCGGCACGGACACGAGCTCGAGCTAGTGGAATCACAGCTGCGGCACGCGCGATGAGAAGGCGGGACAGACAGCGTTCAGTGAGATTTCGTTAGAATGAAAGAAGGGTTCCTGACATCCTACCTATTGTAATTATTAGTGCTGGGAGTGAAATGTTTTATTGCGTATAATGGGTTGCAAAAAATTAGTGCCAGAAAAGACGTTCCAAGTCTATATTTTTACAAAAACTAGAAAACGGCTAAGTTATAAAACATCAAATTGCAACATATAATAATCTCAAAGAAGTTTCGACGTGACCGCCATCAGTGTTGATGCATGCCTTATTTTGTTTTTCACCGAGTCGATGGTGCGGCGGAGGTGTTCAGCGTCTAATCTATCCAAATTTTGATTCTTTTCAAAATCACCACACTTTTTGCGTTTCGATCCCGTAAATAAGATCACAAAAGAGAAAAGTGATGGTATTGATTTCGCAGTGTTAGTAGGCCAGAAATCCACCGTCAAAAAAAGAGTTTATGATCTTCAGCAATTCGATCGTTGTATTGGTCTATAAGCTGGAGCCGCATTCCTGTAGAAAGATAACATTGTTGTGACTCTGCCTCCAGATCATCAATTTCTTGAACTCTTCATGATAAATCTTCACGTTGATTCAAATGATTTTATCGACCAAAAACCAATGGAGGCTTGTCCAAAGCACTGATACTGCTCCAAATCATCAAACTTTCAGCGAACGGAATTCTTGCAGGTATTTTTCCAATTACGAATGCCCCTAAAAGCTAGGCAAGAAAGTTGAAGGTGGTTTGAGAGTTCTTAGTTATAGCTTAAACAGGGAGACTTTTCTCGTCAAACCAAAAGACTCTCTAAGCATCACAGCTATATCAAAGCAGCCAGCGTCTACTCCGAAGCTTTTTTGTGAATATTGAACGTTATGCCCACTGTTTTAAAAATACAATTTTCGTTTTATAGACAAAAAAATGAAGTTAAGACTTTTTTATGGTGCACATAAATTCTCGCCACACTGCAAGTGCAACTCTCGCACTCGGAGATTGGGAATTTTTTGGGAATGCGGAGGAAAGCAACTTCATGAAAAACCTTTTGTAACGCCCAATCACTTCGAAGTCTATTCCAAGTTCATTCTCCGTTGTTCCTTCTACTCATTACACAGTTAAGTTAGAGAAGGATAGAGTACGTAGTACTCAATGTCTCAAAATGTTGACGCCGCTCCCTGCTCTCCTTCGCCGCCGCTTCGACGTAAAAAGTGACGTTACCTAACGCGTCCGCGCCGCCAGTGAGCTGTTCCATGGAGTCTCACCTAATGTCCGTAAATTGTAAGTGACAACTCTGCAAAACATGGATGGCACGAAATCATTTAGGCATTGAAAAGCTTAAAAGTGAGAACCGCGCCTTGCATTTTGCTTCCATCCAGTAAGTCAAAATACGTGATCACAAACGTTAGAGATTACGAATATAATCTAGTCGGACCAGTTTCTATCTTAGCGCCCTACCGTGCGGAAGCACGACAAAAAAATCTTCCGTGTCATTCTCTCTTGTATAATATCATTATGAAAATGTAACTTGAATTGTAAAAATGAAAAATGTAAAATGAACTGCAAGTGTACAGTGCACACTTAAGAGTCCCTTATTTGGAGGTAATGGGGGTGGAACGATATTGATTCTATATTCTACGTGGTCACGAGAAGGTCTACAAAGGATCACAAATGTTTCTGCTTTCGAAGTATCACTATCCAGAATTACTGAGCGCGACATTGGCATCGCTTCCATGTGTTGTGCGTGGGATGCTTTTCTTTCCCCTTTCATGATCAACAATATCCTGTAGTACATCTATTAGGTTGGAAAGAATGTTCTGAAACACCCCACAGCCAAAATTTTGAATTTATTTTTTATCCTTTGTTTTTTCTAAGACCCGGAACATATTGACCATCAGACTTAGCAACACTACGCCAACCTTCGGGCAATTGGCTGACACCACATTTGTAGAAATTAGGAGAATTTTTGTCAAACAACCTTTTGGAAGTCGGATTTGCACGTCGTCGAGCTTCCTGTTCTCCAGGTAATGAGCAAGCGAGCAGGAAAGGTGGAAGACGTGTATGGATAGGTTTGACGAATATGGCAGACGGGCAACCGCGGTCCAGCCTAGCTTGAGAATCTTGTGGCATGAGACCGAAGACCCGCGCCGACGCGCGTTGTCGTGAAGCAGATTGACTTGTCGCTGTATTCCGTGAAGCTTTCCTGCAATCGTTCCGAGCAGCTAGCAGCGGGTAGCCCTTGTCATCGTCAATCCTGCAGACAGAACATCACCCATGGGAAATACCGTCAAAATTCCAAAAGTTTGACAACATCACCATTCCCCCATAGTTGTCAGGTCAAGGCATTGAAACTCCACTTCCCATATTCCAAACCGCTGCTGCTTTCGCATATGGTTAAAGCAGACGGTCCATTTGTCTTCGCCAATGGCCACATGCCGCGGCCTATCGTTGCTACTGTGCGACGAGAAGTACATGTGCAGATGTCCACCCGGTGAAATCGTGCGGTACCCATCGACCACATTTCCAAGACTTGTCTAATTCCTGAAGAGCCTAAAGAACGTGCGGTGAGAGCACTCAAGACGCACTACCATACAGTGTGACGACTGTCTTGAATCATCCTCGATTACAGCGCCGACGACGTCTTGATGGACAGTAGTCGTACGTTGCGTCAGAGGGATCAAAGTTTCCGCTGCGTAGCGTTCAAGCCGTAATGAAGGCGCCACTTGAGAGATCACGCCCCATTCTATCACTGGACAGATTCTGAGCACCTCTCGTGAGCTGATCTCTCCAGGCGAGGTACGCACAAGATGAGCGCTCGGAGTGTCTCGCGGGAAAAGTTGATTTAGTGCGATGCAAACGCCATTATTGGGAAAGCTGATTTGAGCACCGTACGTAGCACAGTCCGCTCCTACTATATACCACCCATGGAAGATTCCAGAGCATTCGGGAGAAATCCAGAAAGAGCGCGAATTGAGTGTTTCAGAACTTTCTTTCCAACCTAATATGTACACTTCATTGCGTATGTTTTCATTTCTTTCAAAAAGTTACTGATTTGTGACCGATTATCAACTCACTAATTTCTCTATCTGTCATTGTGGTGATGCACCAACATCGTAAAAGAGATGTAACTAGGAATGAGTCATAGACAGCTCACATTTGTCTTTCAACATTGCGAAACACTTTTATGGAGGTGCATCATTGAAGTTACGATAGCTTTTCTGCGCTGTATTCTACAGGGGTGGCCAAAAAAAGAGACACTTTGCCCATGGCGCACATCATCGAACTTTTCGTCGCACAGGGTGCCGATGTGAAAGTTTTACGGCGAAATATTCCTTAGGTGTTCCCCCGTAAGCAGAAGCAGGCCCTCCTTCACTGCCCCCGCCGTCTTCAGAATATGACGTCATCTGCCGCCACCGTCGAGCTCAACGAGGCTTACCGTAATCGCTCCGGCCTGAAGCTGCTACATAATTTCTTCAATGGATTAACTGTTGAATAGCTTCCAGAGACATTAGCTGTGACTATGCAAAACCGCTTTTGACCAGCGTTTCAGGGACGTCGTAATGGTCTATGGTACCTCGACGACCTCGTTGAGCTCGTACCGTGAACCATGTTTCCGTGGGAAAATCTTCTGATGTCGTCGGTGTAGAAGGCTGTCATGTAAGTTTAGATAGATTAGAATGTGCTCTTCAATACTGAGTTGGGGGCAGTCGATTTGATTCTAGCAAAGTGTGATTAATGCTGTCTGAAATGTGGAGTCAAGTGTCTCTTTTTTTTTTGGCCACCCTGTATACTGCATTCAATAATGGTACAGCCACCTACGAATCGTTCGAAATCTCAAACTTCCTAAAGTTTCTGAAACTGTCCGAATAGGAAATGTGGCCAATTCGATTGCAAGTCTAATTATTAACACAGAGTTCGACGTTGAAGACGCCAAAAAATTTTATACTCAAATTTTCGGAAATGTAGATTCTGTGTTTCAAAGTGATAAAGCCCCCCCCTGGCATTTTATTTCTACTGCGTGAAAGAGGTCGCAGCTACCAAGTTTCTCTTCTTAAGGCCATTAGAAATGAAAAACACCCGTCGGACATTGGAAAGCATAAGTTGCTGCAAAAAATAAATAAGAAGCGCCAGGTAGTAACATTGCGCGAGGATTGAAAAGATCGTTTTGTTGCCTGTTTTACTTTTCATCTGTTTTCTCTTTTAGAATTTCTTTTCTCGTTAGAGTGCTCTCCCTGAGTGGACTCATATGAAGCAAAAAACTTCAAGAGAAACTCAGACACAGGGCCTAACATAACAGGT